CTGGGAAAAACAAAGTTTTCATTGATTTGATCATGCACTTTGTATTTTAAAACACCTCAAACATGAGTGAAAGTCGCAGTTGAAAAGGTTTCGTTCAAAAATAAAACTTTGAAATACCATATCTCGATTGATTATTGATGGATTTTGATAATTCTTTTTTTAATGTTCTTGTTTCATAGAGTAGATTTGAACCCCTGAGGTTTAAACGTCAATATTGTTCAAACAATTTTTCGCTTGTGGTACCTAATAAAAGAGTTCATTGTCCTGTTACTGTACTTCTTTGTTATTCTTCGTCTTTGTCATTGTAGATGTGGTATTATTCTTGTATCCTACTTCTTTCTTCAATTATATTTTCATTGTCATTCAGGCAACTACTAGTACTACTAGGATTTGACCTAAAATATTTGGTGCTTGGACAAGTTGTACATGCCTTCTTTTCTGAAAAGTTAACATTACTACCTACTTCTTTTTCTATCATTCTGTCAATGTTAAAAAAGTGAGAGTCTATTGCTGAAAGAGTTTGTAGATGTTGCCCACTCTCTTGTCAAACAATATAGATGAGTAAATATGGCTTTTATTTAACTCCATATGACTGCTGTTCTGAATCCTTTATCCCTAGTGGAGCCTTCATTTTTTTGTTCCTTAAGCAATTCTAAAATGCAGGCGAAGTCTTTACAATGGTAATGATAGTCGGATACTATATCGTACAATTGGATAGATAAGAAGCAAAGAAGATTGATAACTTGAGAAGTCAAATACGAGATAGGTAGATAAAGGAAAAGAATGCAAAGGAAAACCATCAGCTAACAGGTAGATAAAGAAAAATAATGCGTAGGAAAACCAGCAGTTGAAAAGATGGATAGATAGATACAATGAGCTGATCACTCACATTTAATCGAGAGGCATCTGCATCTTTTTCTTGACCTCGAAGTTGTCAGAAGTTTTTGCAAAGGGGATGTTCTAGAGATAAAGATCCCTGGGCATGGGGGAAAAAAATGACAACAGATTCTAGAGTGTACACGCAAATATGCCTGGTAAAAGAAAGTCTTTGCATATCATAGCCTACCATTTCTTGTTCTTATAAGACATAGCTGCAACTTCACTTCAGTTTACTTCTTTACTTTGACCATCTGACTCTGCAGTCGAAAGAATCACCCTGCACTTATTTTTACTGCGTTCCATAGTCACATACAGCTTTATTTTATTTGAAATGAGTGGAGCTAGGTACTTTTCAGTTGCCTTCTTTTCTTGCTCGAGAAAGACCTAATATGGTCTCCTTTCCCAGCTTACAGTTGTGCTTGACTTTATCTACTTCTGCTTTGCATTCCCCTGTGTAGTTTAACTATACATGCATACGGTTTTACTACACACACCCACCTCATGTAGTGATCCAACTTGCACTGACTCGTCGCAACTCTCTGCGCTGCGCCTCGACCGCTACTCACGCAGTCTTCAAAAGTCCGTGGCTCACGCCTCGGCCTGTCCTTGGTTTCTTCAATGTCAACCGTACTCGACTACTTTCCCGAGAATCACACAGCTAACCACACCCTGTTAGATCTCAGGGTTAGTTGACTTGTGAACAGTGTTGGGGTTACTACAGTCGTAACATGTCCATCTGTGCTTTCCCCCCCCCCCCCCCCCTTACAGGATCCATCACTATATTTTATCACTATAAATACTCGTACCAAGGGAATGAGATCATAGTGTCCCTTTCCCACGTTGCGCGGGTTCACATAAATGCTTACTTCATATAAATTCTGGCTAAGGAGCCCTCCCCTGCACTGCACGCTTGGGCACAGACTGCAGTATATCCTAATCTAAAATCACTGATGTCAATGCAGATATACTTTGCACTTGATGAGTACAAGACACCTCCAGGTGTGTAAAGTTGTTTTCGGAAGTAAAGGAAAGTTTGTTTTTTTTAACTGAGCTGTGAGCTTGTCTGTGAACATGGTAGTCTTGTGCTCTCTAGCAAACTTTTATGTAGATCGTATATCCTTGTACTTTACTGTAAAATCGTTGTGAATCTAAATGTCCTCTTCTCTGATGCTAACTTGTGTTTGTTTAGCTTAACACACAGTGCTGTACTGTAAAATAGTTGATGAATCTTTATCAACCTGTACTCCTCTACACAATTGTTTCTGAATCTTGGGATAATAAAATGGTTTGCTCTACAGCAAACTTGTCTATGAAATTTTAAAACTTTTGGTCAAATGAAAACGGAAAACTTGCTTGTGACTTGATTAACTCTGCTTTTCTATAAACTTTTCATATAAAACTTTGCTATGTAAACCTTAAAAACTATGTGCTGTGCTGCAGACATGTTTTTAAACCACGTAAGTGTTCTCTCTTTTCTTTTCCTCATGCAGGATCCACAAGTGCTCTTCGCTGGTGAGGCGTACAGCAAAGAGTTCCAGTCCACTTTCCATGGTGCACTGATCTCAGGGGACAATACTGCTGACTTGCTACTCTCAAAACATGGACTTAAACCTCAGACAAAGCTGATAGACTTGGTTTCACCGTGATATTGTTGATGTTCCGACACAATCACTGTTAACGCTTTGCACATACAATTATTTTATCACTTATACATAATATGTAAACTGATGGCGTAGTGTGCAGTTTGTGATGTGGAAAAAGTCCGGTCAAAACTGGGTCTGTGCCTTGAGCAGACTAATTGCAGTCATTTTGTACAGCGTAATTTGATATTACAATTTTTTATTGTCCTGCAGGTTTTCTCACTGATGCAATTCCTGTTTATTCAATTACAGTTTATTATATATATTTATGCAGAGTTATTTCCCTCTGTGGACGGAGGTTATGACCTCTCAGTCAGACTGGGGCTTGGGCCAGATTGAAACTTACTGATTCACGACATTCCTCATCCGCTGGACTACCATAGAGTCATAAAACTGTGTAAATATGCATCCACAAATTTTCAACTTCAACAAATTTTCACTGCCTGAGTCATGAAAAGGTGTGAAATTTTAAACATATTTTGTATTTTTTCAAAACTTTGATAAAAGTAGGTACCGCAGGCGAGCCGTTTTCAAGGCAGACA